CTATTGTGAGTACTGCAACTGTGACGTCATATGACATCCGTTATCACTCGATTCTATTATAATTCGTATCACTGTGTGTACTAAAACATTTAAGTATGGCGGCGATGGTGTAACGATTAGCATATCGGACTATTAAACCCAAGTTGACGGGTTTAAATCCGATCGAAGGCGTAGTTTTTAAGGGCGAAAAAATTCTTCGCACGCCTTCCTTTGTAGTGGAGTAAAGCTGGCTGTCCCATGTTATGAATGCATGTAAAATATCCTCAATCTTAAATGAAGCCTCTGTGCTAAATTCAAATCGCCTGTTTCGTCGCCCAAGAAATACCTTTTCTCCGCTAGTTGGTGAAAGGAGCGTAGCGCAATCTGTGTGGTCAGACCAACCTAATGGTCCGAGTCTTGCCACGTAAAATAAGGCTTCAATTCAACTATAAGCTATTCGTTATTTAGTACTATTAACCACTCACTGCCGTACAAAATCTCTGACCACCCTCTCCCAGTTCTTCTTCAACTCTCACTATCTCAGAATTGTCCCTCTATGCATCCCATTCTTTCTACTTCGACGACTATCTACTCTGTAGACGCAGTGTTGCCACGCCACACTTTATGAAAGCACCCAGACCTCGCCTTGCAGCCGACATCAGCGCTGCCCGGCGGGCGCGTGGTGAAGCGCGTTGCGCGGGTCGGCGCTACCCGATAAACGGCGCGGCCGCAGCCTCGCGATAAGCGCAGAGCCCTCCTCCCCCTTCCCACCCGGAATTTACGCCCGCTGTCGCCCGCGAGAACAAATGAATCGCGGAGAGCGCTCACCCGCACTTCCGCCAACTAAATCAGCACCCGCGGCCGCGCCCTCGCCCTCGGCGGCCGTTTTGCCCTGCAATTCCACCCCCGCCTAGCCCTTGTGCTCGCGCGCCCCCTCGGCCCTCGCTCTCGCCCTCGCTCTCCGCCCTCGCCCTCGCCCTCGCCCTCCCCCTCGCCCTTCGCCCCTCCGCCCTCGCCCTCGCCCTCGCTTCGCGGCCCTTCGCCCTCCGCCCCTCCGCCCTCGCACCTCGCGCCTCGCCCCTCGCCCTCGCCCTCGCCTCGCCCTCCGCACCCTCGCCCACCGGGGGCCCTCTGCCTCGCCCTCGCCCCTCGGCCCCCCGCCCTCGCCCCTCGGCCCCTCCGGCCCTCGCCCTCGCCCTTTCGCCCTCGCCCTTCGCCCTCGGCCCTCCCGCCCTCGGCCCTCGCCCTCGCCCTCCCCTCTCGCCCTCGCAACCGCCCCCCGCGCCCCTCGCCCTACGGCTCTCGCCCCCTCGCCCTCGCCCTCCGCTCCTCGGCCCCGCCCTCCGCGCCTTCCCCCTGCCCTCGCCACCCCGCCCCCCCGCGCCCTCGCCCTTCGCCCTCGGCCCTCGCCCTCCCCCTCGCCCTCGCCACCGCCCCCCCCGCCGCCCTCGGCCCTCGCTCTCGGCCCTCGCCCTTTCGCCCTCCGCCCTCGCTCTCGGCCCTTTCCCCCGCCCTCGGCCCAACCGCCCCCCCCGCCCTCGCCCTCCCCTCCGCTCTTCGCCCTCGCCCTCGCCCTCGCCCTCCCCCCTCGCCCTCGGCCAACCCCCGCCCCCCCCGCGCCCCTTCGGCCCCTCGCTTCTTCGCCTCGCCTCGCCCTCGCCCTCGCCCTCGCTCTTCGGCCCTCCGCCCTCGCCCTCCGCCCTCCCCTCGCCCTCGCCCTCAGCCCTCGCCCTCCGCCCTCGCCCTCGCCCTCGCCTCCGGCCCTCGCCCCGGCCCTCCGGGGCCCCTCGCCCTCCGGCCCTCGGCCCTCGCCAACTCGCCCTTTCGCCCCTCCGCACTCCCCCTCGCCCTCGCCCTCGCCCTCGGGCCCTCCCTACGCCCTCGCCACCGGGCCCCCCCGCGGCCCTCAGCCCTCGCCTTCTCGGCCCTCGCCCCTCGCCCCTCGCCCTCGCCCTCGCCCTCGCCCTGCGCTCTCGCCCTCGCCCCTCGCCCTCGGGCCACCGCCCCCCGCGCCCTCGCACCTTCGCTCTCGCCCCTCGGCCCTCCGCCCTCGCCCCTCGCCCTTTCCCGCCCCCTCCGCCCTCGCCCTTCGCTTCTTTCGCCCTCGCCTCGGCCCTCGGCCCTCCGCCCTCGCCCTCGCCCTCGGCCCTCCGGCCCTCCGCCCTCGCCCTCGCCCTCGGCCCTCGCCCCTTCGACCCTCGCCCTCGCCCTCGCCCTCGCCCCCCTTCGCCCCTCGCCCTTACCGCCCTCCCCTCGCCCTCGCCACCGCCCCCCGCGCCCTCGCTTCTCGCCCTCGCCCTCGCCCT